TGGTTCAGTTTGTACCAGCTTTGATCTAGTCTCAGTTCAACCTTTCTATCAGTCACTAAGTTTACCAACAATCTCTTGTTGTTGCCTCTCTTTGCCTTCTTCAAAGTTATAATGCAAACAGCACTAAAATTGCATACCAGTGTATATAGACAATGGAATAATTATATTTTTGTTTACATCCTAGGAAATACAAACCATCATTTGTTGAGATGCCATACTCCAGTGAAAGAGTTTTTCTCAGAAAGTGGTTGTTCTGAATCAGAAACAAAGTCACTCTCGTCATTACAGACTTCCATTTTACTGTTAAGCAGTTTCCTCTCAATGTATGATTATCTTTTTCCACATGGATCCTGAACTAATTCACACTATGGGTTGATCTTTCTGTATCCCATTTAAGAATGTATGCAAGCTACTAAAGGTTCAGAAATCAAACTTCTTTGAGGTGCATTGTTTGTCCTTTTAATGCCCATACATAGTGATGCTCACAAATCTTGTCTCAGCTTTAGAATCTTGTATTTTATGTGTATCTGCACACATGCATACCTCCATATTGCTCAAGCTACATAAGACAGTCCAGCAGAACCACTGTTCTGCCACATCAAGACATTGTTATTGCCTACATTACAATGTCTATCAAATGAAAACCCTGTCTTGGGTTATCACTGCCCTCAAGGCATGCTCACCGCAAGATAACAACTTATCACAGCATAATCTTTGCCTGGCACTATGCTCAATGTCATGAAATGTTCTAAACTTTTTTTAAAATTATTTCTCTCAGATCTTTGCCACTGGGGTTTTAACATAATATAATTTTCCCAACTTATTCATGAGTCACATCGCCAGCTGTCTATGCACTAGGAAGAATTTTTTAACGCCCCTTAAGTTCTTTCATATTTTGCACCCTTGCGTGTTTGTTCATGTGTGTGTGTGTGTGCTAGGGTGTGGGTATGGAAACACATACACAATAATCACCAAAAAAATATAAGCCATTGGTTCAAGCATAATAAATATTCTTAATGACAGCTATCCTCATTTCATACAACTAAAATACATGCATATGAAACCAGTTATTTAATACTGTCTGTACACAGAAGCACCTGGTACTTCATAGCTGAGTCATTGAAGTTTGAATTTCACAATTCCATGACCTGATTAGTAAGTTCAAATCAATTTAGCTCATAATCTGATTAGTTTGTGTGTGTAGACATGTGTTTGAAAAGATGGCAAAAGACAAACTGTAATTCCAGCTTACAAAGATGACACAATCGCTATAATCCTAAAACTGGTACTAAACTGTGCACTTGGGTAGTTTAAATAACACACTATCACTTTCTGTAACTTGAAAAACCTGTATACAGCTCAAATAAGTGAGCTCATATCAAAATAAATCATTTCAAAATGCAGAAACAAAATAACATGGCATATTAACAGATTATTTTTACAAACTGTGTGTCAGAAACAATATAGTGGACAGAAAATTCCTATCATTTCAGGGATAAGAAATAACTCCTGCATGATTTGGTAAACAAATACAAATATGCTAAATAAACAATATTAAAATTTGACATAAAGTAAAAAATACCTGTAATTTCATTCAGCCACACAACTGCATAAAAAGCAGTTTCACTTTCAACAGCAATTAATTTTAATTTGGCTCCAGTTTCTGCTTTACTACTGTACTGAAAGTTATTATAAACTAGCTGTACCCGGCCACGCTTTGCTGTGGCATAGTTTGGCTAAATGGAAATAAAAGAAAATAGAAATCGCACATGTCTAATACAATCATTGTCTGCTCAGATATAGAGATAGTCTTTGATTCCCCCCCCCCCCCCCCCCCCCCCACCACAACTAAATCCACCTACTACTCTCTCCCTCATCAAAGGTTTTTGGAAAAGAAAGACATTGGAAATCGCACGTGTCTAATATAGTTAATGTCGCAATCATTCTCTGCAGACATAGAGATAGTCTGGTTTTCGAACTTTAGAACACGCACCATATAATTGTGTCTTTATATTAGTGGTCGTTTAAATGGTGTTATTAACACAGAAACAAAAATGGTTATTTGGTTATCACATGCTAAAGCTGTTTGTATTTTTATAGGAGACGGAAGTAAAGCTACAACTGTACTTGTAAATAACAAAGTCAGTCGTAAAAAATAGAACAGCGAAGGTAGCGTTAGTAAAATATAAACAAATAAAGTAATGAGAACTTGAAAATCATGCGTAAAGCTCTTTAAGTTCTCTTAAATTTAAGTCATTACCCCCTCCCCTCTTCCACCGACTACTGCTCTCTCCCTCTTCGAAGGATTTGAAAATCATTACCTGGCGATATTATGTTGTTGTTGTAACTGACATTGACATCCCTGTCCATCCGGTCTAAAATGGGGAGCAGGAATTGTAGTAGGTAGTGAAAGGGGCTAGTGTTATATTTACCACATCATCCTTCAAGTACCAGTACAACTACTACCACGACCACCACCACAGTAGCTAAAATAATGTCACTGCTATCTGTGTTACCATCGGAGTAGACAGAGAGTCGTGAGCCAGAAGATTTGGTTCCGCATGGCTAGTGCTGTCGCCACAGACTGGTCAGGTTAGGATGTATAATTTCGCTTCCCGACAGAAGAACGCCATAACCTTACCGGCGGTCTTCACATGAGAGCACTACGGTGTAACAGCCCAACCACAACTACTACTGCTGCTGCTACTTTAAGTGGGTAAAGCAGTTACTGTGACTTAAAGCTCTCTCAGTAAACAGTTTGCCCCCGACTACTCTTTCCCTCATTGAAGTAGTTGGGAGAAAAAAAAACACTTGAAAAGCAAACGAAAACAGGAAAAATACACCATAATTAGGAAATGAGCGCTATGTTAAACAGCACAGCTTAAAATTCCAACGCAGATGAAATAACTAAATCTAAATGAAAATAAATGGAAAGCTATGAAATTTCAGCGTAACCATGCAATCGGAAAGTTTAAAAATGAAATCATAAGTATGTGAAATGGTCAAATTTAATTAACCAATGGTTTACCCATTTACTTGTCGTTTTTTTTTTTTTTTTTTTAGTATTGAGGGCAACATGGCTAGTGCTGTCACCACGACAGTGCAGATGAGGATATTATTTTAGTCCGGGGTAAAAAAAAAATTTAACTAATGCGGATTCGAACCCTGGTCTCCCGCACAGGAGCCCAGTGTTCTAACCATTCGACCAAGCAGCCACTTCATCGGAGCAACGAAAAGAGAACTAAACTATTGAGATGTGTGTCCCTACTACTGTGTCCCGATTATAACACAACTCAAAACCGCAAGCAATTGTTTTCTCATAGACAGATATTCCAGATATATTAATGAAACGGCACAACAACAGAAATCGCACGTGTCTAACACGGTTAACGAAGTGAATGTCGCAGTCAATGTCTGCGCCGACGTCAAGATAGTCCTTGATCCCCCCCCCCCCCCCCCCCCCCCCATCGAAGGTTGTTTGAAAAAAAAAAGAAAATAGAAATCGTGTTTAATATGGTTATTGTGGCAATTACTGCCTACACAAATATAGAGATAGTCTTGTTTGCTGTACCACGACCTACTCTATGTATTAGAGAAGGCGTCGGCTGCATGTAACTCACCGGCAAATGGTGGAAGTCTTGCGTTCTGACTACGGCGCATGCGCAATTACTAACGTGGCTATAATTAGATGTCACTAACAATTTCAATATTAGTTTCAAATATTTTTGCTTAAATTGTCGCAAACTATCTCTAACAATGACTGGTTGAATTTCAAACCATGATGGGTGAACATCCGGTATCAAAACAAACATATCCTGAAAATTTCAGCTAAATCGGTTCAGTAGTTTCCGAGTCTATAGCTCATAAACAAACAGACAAACATTGATTTTTATATATATAGATGCATAATCAAGTACATACGTGTATTATAAATGCATAACCAAGGACATACATGTATTATAAATGCGTAAGCAAGGACATACATGTATTTGATTTGATTTGATTCAAATACCGACATCACAGCACTCGGGGCATTCCCATAAGTGCTCCGTCCCCATCTTCAGCAGCCAGCGAAGAGTTCCGATACTAATGGTGCCAGTAGCATTCTGATTAAACGTCCGTCTTGCCTTTCCTCTGAGCCTCGAGCATCTGCCAGAACCTCTCGTCACCCCCAACTGCATCAATCTTACCAGACTGTGGTGATCCATCTGCTCCTCCGAACTGTACACGCTCTCCCACAGGGCACTAACCACTTCTGCCCTATCATGTATCAGTATTCCACCAAGTTGTGCAGAGCCAGCTAATCTGTCCGTCTGTTCATTTCCCAACACACCGGCGTGACCCGGTGAAAAAATAATAGATGTAAATAAATGCATAACCAAGAACATACATTTATACACACAAACACAATACTTTATCTGACCAAAAAGTTTTGTGATGCATCGTTTAAAAAAAATATGCGTTATATCGTAACTACGTTGTACTATGATTCATATTACAAGAAGCGGTTGGCCTTTGACTGCCATGACAGAAGACTCATAAACATCAAATTACCGATGATCCAGTATTGGAAACAGTTCATCTGATTGTAACCAAAAACTTATGGAAAATACCTGCACAAGATTTATTTTTCCCACTTTTCTCTAAAGCAGAAACAAGTAGTTGCCAGAATCTTTTTCTAATGGTAGGGGAAAATATAAGTTGTAACATTACCAGTGATGAAGCATCATGTTATGTATACAATCTGGCCAGAAGTTTTAATTTTCTTTAAAGAGACAATATTTTCAAATGTAGTGACAAGGAAGATAAACATTTCAACAACAAAAAATTATGTCAATAAAAGAAGTGTCTTTTTTTTTGTTTTGTTTCAAAGCTTTTGGGTCACAACCTCATATATATGCAAATCAACACTGAATGCTTAATCACCTTTCTGTAAATTAATTCTTCATAAAGACGCCCTAAAGATCATCTTCACAGAGAATCCTGTTTCTATAAAAACATTAAACATTCTTGCTTCTTTCAACCTCAGAATCCAACATGTTTGGCAGGACTTTAAGCAAATGTCTTACACCTTCATCAACTGATACTGTAGACCTGAATCCAAGCTTCCTAATTTTTTCATAGCTTACCTCATAGTCCCGTTTATCTTTATCTTCACCTGTTGTTGAAGGAATGATCTTGCAGGATGGAACATGACTCTGAATAACCTGAGCAACCTCATTTTTAGTTAAGTTCATGCGTTCATCCCCAACATTATACGCCTGACCTGACATTAGTTTTGTGTTTTCAACAGCAAACAGAAAAGCTCTAGCAGCATCACGAACATGGAGGAATGTTCTGCGAAAATGACCTTCATACAAGTCAAAGTGTTTAACAGTCAAGGCTTTAAAAGCCAAATCATTGACAAGCAGATCCAGTCTCATGCGTGGAGAAACACCAAACACAGTGGCCAGGCGCAGAGCAGTTCCGCTGACACCGAGAACAAGACTCTCACCGCCAGCTTTACTTGAGCCATAAAGTGAAAGAGGGCTGATCTCTGTTTCTTCTGTACAGACCCCATCAACTGCCCCATAACATGAACCAGTGCTTGCATATACCAACGCTTGGTTGGGTTTTTTCAACAGTGTGATATTCCTGGTGCCTTCCACATTCACCTCCTGGGCACGGACTTTGTCCTTGTCACAGGCAGGATACCCAACAATAGCAGCCAAGTGGATCACTGCCATCTTACCTTCCATAACCTGTTCCAATTTAACCTTGTCTAGGATGTCTCCTTTAACAATGTGAATCCTGGGGTGCTCTGCGACAGGAAGTAGAGGACTTATTCCCCACAAGAACAGATCATATACTGTTACCTGAAAAAAAAACAATGTAATTGTTTCACTTTATTAATAAAAATGTCAACTAACGCAAATATCTGTGTTCTCATCCCTGTGGTGCCGTGCTGGCTATTCTTGTCAGGGTATTACTGTCTGGTTGGGTGCAGCGTTGTAATTCTTTGTCTTCCCCCAAGAGTCCCACTAACACTGTCTGGTTGGGTGCAGCGTTGCAATTCTTTGTCTTCCCCCAAGAGTCCCACTAACACTGTCAACAGAGCAAAACTTCCCCCAAGAGTCCCACTAACACTGTCAACAGAACAAAACTTGCCCCAAGAGTCCCACTAACACTGTCAACAGAACAAAACTTGCCCCAAGAGTCCCACTAACACTGTCAACAGAACAAAAACTTGCCCCAAGAGTCCCACTAACACTGTCAACAGAACAAAACTTGCCCCAAGAGTCCCACTAACACTGTCAACAGAACAAAACTTGCCCCAAGAGTCCCACTAACACTGTCAACAGAACAAAACTTGCCCCAAGAGTCCCACTAACACTGTCAACAGAACAAAGCTTGCCCCAAGAGTCCCACTAACACTGTCAACAGAACAAAACTTGCCCCAAGAGTCCCACTAACACTGTCAACAGAACAAAACTTGCCCCCAAGAGTCCCACTAACACTGTCAACAGAACAAAAACTTGCCCCAAGAGTCCCACTAACACTGTCAACAGAACAAAACTTGCCCCAAGAGTCCCACTAACACTGTCAACAGAACAAAACTTGCCACAAGAGTCCCACTAACACTGTCAACAGAACAAAACTTGCCCCAAGAGTCCCACTTACACTGTCAACAGAACAAAACTTGCCCCAAGAGTCCCACTAACACTGTCAACAGAACAAAACTTGCCCCAAGAGTCCCACTAACACTGTCAACAGAACAAAACTTGCCCCAAGAGTCCCACTAACACTGTCAACAGAACAAAACTTGCCCCAAGAGTCCCACTAACACTGTCAACAGAACAAAACTTGCCCCAAGAGTCCCACTAACACTGTCAACAGAACAAAACTTGCCCCAAGAGTCCCACTAACACTGTCAACAGAACAAAACTTCCCCCAAGAGTCCCACTAACACTGTCAACAGAACAAAACTTGCCCCAAGAGTCCCACTAACACTGTCAACAGAACAAAGCTTGCCCCAAGAGTCCCACTAACACTGTCAACAGAACAAAAACTTGCCCCAAGAGTCCCACTAACACTGTCAACAGAACAAAACTTGCCCCAAGAGTCCCACTAACACTGTCAACAGAACAAAGCTTGCCCCAAGAGTCCCACTAACACTGTCAACAGAACAAAACTTGCCCCAAGAGTCCCACTAACACTGTCAACAGAACAAAACTTGCCCCAAGAGTCCCACTAACACTGTCAACAGAACAAAACTTGCCCCCAAGAGTCCCACTAACACTGTCAACAGAACAAAACTTGCCCCAAGAGTCCCACTAACACTGTCAACAGAACAAAACTTGCCCCAAGAGTCCCACTAACACTGTCAACAGAACAAAACTTGCCCCAAGAGTCCCACTAACACTGTCAACAGAACAAAACTTGCCCCAAGAGTCCCACTAACACTGTCAACAGAACAAAACTTCCCCCAAGAGTCCCACTAACACTGTCAACAGAACAAAACTTGCCCCAAGAGTCTCACTAACACTGTCAACAGAACAAAACTTGCCCCAAGAGTCCCACTAACACTGTCAACAGAACAAAACTTGCCCCAAGAGTCCCACTAACACTGTCAACAGAACAAAACTTGCCCCAAGAGTCCCACTAACACTGTCAACAGAACAAAACTTGCTATACTAAAAAAAAAAATCCATTTACCTGTAGATTAAAAGCAAATATATTGTACTCTTCCCCACAATTTTAGAATAATGTAATGTAAATAATACACATTTATCAATGGTTATACATATATATATATATATATAAACAGATTGTGAATTTCGCAGATGTATAGATATAAAAATATTAGGGCTGTACCGAATAGTGATTTTCACTATTCGGCCGAAAACGAATAGCAGGACTAACTATTTGGCCGAATACGAATAGTGTATCATCATCATCATCAGTTCCATTGCCAACTGGCGTGGGCGATTATGCCCCACCACAATTTGCGATCTCCTGCAGCAAGTATTAGTTTGTGTGCTGACACAACTCCATGCCATGCAACAAGACTCAAGAATCTTCTATCGTTGTCTTCCTCTATCCCTCCTTCAACAGATCTTTCCAGTGGTCACCACATGTTCCATTTTCCCTCTTCTCTGCATAACATGGCCGAAAAATGACGACATGATGTCTGTGATTAGTTGTCTTTGGGCTCCCGCCTCTTTCAACACCATTGTTCGCTCGGCCGCTCTCGTTCAATGTAATTTAAACGCACTTTCATACTCTCGTTAGCAATATCTTCAAATCTGATTTGGGCGAAGACACCCTGAAAGAACGAAAAATGCATGATCTCTCTCTTACTCTCACACACACAAGCATTAAAAAAAACATTGCCTTTAAATATAAGTGCTTACTTGATGAGGCTAACAGTTACTACTGTACAGACCACATTTTCCACTTTATAATTTCAGCCAAAATGTAATCACAACCTTAGTTATCCGCTGCACTTTCACAAATATAGATGGAGGATCAATCGCACGTCGAGATAAATACAAAGAACATATTTAGCACCCTGCGGTTGGAATTTTATGCAGTGTGAAACACTGTGAGTGTGACAAAAGGGAAAAAAACTCTTTCTTGATTTTCACCACGGCACCCCTGGCATACACACCCAGTTTGAGAACCTCTGCTGTAATGCCTCGGTCGAGTCAGCAGGCAAAGACCTTGCCAGCTGCTGTACCACGCAACCGGGTCGCAGTTTCCCCCGCTACGACAGACTTCGGCAACAGCAACTATTGTGGTAATGAAAGAGTTATTTCAGTCCATCGCAGTGTATGCAAAAACGGGTGTAAGATAACCACTATTCATATTCGGCCGAATACCGAATAGCTATTAGGTCCACTATTCAGCCCTGAAGCAAATATAAAGTGAATATTTGGTACAGCCCTTATATATATATAAATATATATATATATATATATATATATATATATATATATATATATATATATATATATATATATATATAACTGCCAAATTCACAATCTGTTTAAATCACCACTGATCACTGGCATCATGAGAGCTAAAAGACTAAAATGTCTGTGGCATATTAAATGAATGTCAGATGACATAGAAGTAAAAAATGTATACACAAGGGAGATGAATGGTCGTAGACCATGAGGCAAACCAAGAAAAATATGGACAGATAATATACAGACAGGCCTGCAGACACCAACTGGAAAAAGGCCGACGAGAGAGATGAATGGAGGCGGGTGATATCTGCAGCAATGAACCTCAAGGGCTCAAAATGCTGAAAAGGAATATATACATAATATACACACCACAATCAGCTTTGTAGACGGGTGGAGCGCACCTGTGTTTAAGAGAGGATGAGGGCCCCAGACCTTATTTTAGTGTCTTGAAACCAAAAGCATCAAGTTATTTGTTGACCCTTTTCTGTGAAAATTCAAAAAAATAATCTGTTTTCTACTCTTAATTGTGTACAAAATGTAATACAATTCTGGTCAATAAAAATATGTTTACGCATTCAGTCTCATGAGTTCTAAACAGTTACCAAAATATATAAAAGAACTCACTTCATATCCTTTCTCTAACAACATTGGCACCAATGTTGAACCGATATAGCCAGCACCACCAGTCACAAGAATGTGCCCCTGACATAGGGGAACATCACCATTACTGTAGTTATAACCATTGATATAGGGTCCCTTTGAAGACATGGCTGGCAGCTGTGGGCAACAAACTGAAGAACTGGTCATTGATCTGTGATAACCTGAAATGGATAAAAACAAAAGCTCTACAGTAGCTGCACAAGCCCTGCAATCTTTCCAAACTCAGCCCACAACAAAATACTATTATCATCATCAAGTGCCCTGCTGAATGGGCATGGGCAATCATGCCTAAAAATCTGTAATCCTCAACAGCATGTATCAGTTCATGTGTTGATACACCCCCCCCCCCCCCCACCCCCAAATGTCATGAGAAAAAGGCTGTCAAGAAGAATCATCTTTCTGTTTCTTTGATATTTTTGGAATCATCATCTTTACCTGTCTTGTTTAAGATATATACAGCAAGTCAGAAAAAATTCAGCCCAATGGACCAGGGCGAACTTGACATTTGCAGGTGATGTCCTAATGTATCCATGCGGGTCAGACAGGCACTACATGACCAGAGATTGGCAAAATGCTTTGCATGAGAAGATGACGAAGTGGTGTGAACAGACAGGGTCAATGGTAAACCCAGAGAAGGCCAGTGTTTTGAGGTGATCTTTAAATTACAGCATTGGGAAGGAAGACTTGCCCAGCATATCCATGAAGGGTATTAATGCTGAAAGAAGAATTAAGCTGAAATACTTAGGTTTGACATTTGATCGCAGTCTGTCCTACAACTATCACGTGGAGCAGACTGTGATCAAATGCAAGAGTGCCTAGTGGCACTGAAGACAATGGTGCCTACACACACAGAACAGAGATTACTGGTCTTATTGTCAACCATTTGGTCCTTCTGTAATCGATTATGGCCTAGGAATATTAACCCTATCTACTTCAGTGTAAAAAGCTTGAAAGAATTCACAATGAAGGAAAGAGAATTGTCTTGGGTTGTTGAATGGACACCCCAATTAAAACAATGAGGTATATGCTTGGGCTGACATCGGTAAAGTCTAGACTAAGATGGCTTTTCATTTCAACCAGAGCATCAGAACAGCTCCAGTACCCCAGGATTGGTTCACAGTTATCTAATCCCTTTTCCATAACCAGGCAAAGATCATTCCAGACTCAGCGGCTTAAGATTATCAGCCTACAAAATACTTTTGGCAAGGTGCTTGAGAAGATTATTGCTTTTAAACTACAAATGCTTAGTGCAACAAAGCCTGGCAAATGATATAATGTCTAGTTTGAGAATGGATGTGGAGGCAGTCACTGCTGCCTTCCGCTGGCTTGAAAATCAGCTGTACACACATGCTGTGATTCTCACTTCTTCCGTTGGCCTGAAATAAGTTGTCTTCTATATCAGCAGTTTTGTCTCTTGTATAAATTTCACTGTCGTTGTTAGTTCATTCAGTGGTCCATAGAGTTTACGTTCCACTGTTGTTCTTTCTGGCCAAAAAGTTTGCCTTAATGTGTCAAATTCGGTGCAGTCCTGGAGTACATGCTCTGCTGTCTGGGGCACATTTCCACAGGTGCACATGGCTGATACACCTATCTTGAATTTTGTGCACATGTGGTTACGTAATCGGCTGTGCCATGTTCTGAGGCGGAGGATAATAACTTGTTCTGGTCTGTCTGTAATAAAATGGTCGTCTTGTGCTGAAGCTGGTGGTTTCCTGATCGATTTAATGATTCTTTTTTTTTGGTGGTATGTGACTGGTACATCTGGCTGCTCTTTTGTTGCACCTCCCCCTGCCAGTTGATCAGCTTTCTTATTTCCAGGCACTCCACAATGAGACGGTATCCACTGCATTACGACTCTTCGCTAAAGGCTGAGTTGTGTCAGCAGTGTTTGCAATTCTGGTAGTTTCCTAGACTGGAGTGCTTCAAGTACTGATTTAGCATCTGTCAGCATTACCACATACTGTGAGCCAAGATTGGTATTTAGCAGTTTCTCTGTTGCTATCTTGATAGCTTGAGTTTCTGCTTCATAGTTATGGTAGTACTTCCCGGTTGGTACGCTGGACTTATCCCTAGTACCATCTGGGAATTCGATGTACACTCCAGCACCACCATTTCTAACTGCACTTTCTGCGGACCCATCTGTAAGGACTCTGACCCATTGTTCTTGTGGGTATTCTTCATCAATATAACTTAGGGTGGCTATTTTGCATTGTACACTATCTTGCTCTTTCTTGTCAAATATCCCTTTCACATTTGTCTGGATTTGTACTGTTAGTTTGCATTTTCTCTCCATGGGGTTTGTTCCGGAATACTTTTAAGTGGGCAACCAATTTCTGGAAGGTCAGGAGTTTGACTACATATTCTTTTTGCTTGGTGTATAAAGCTGCTTCTTTTTAACTGTTCCAAGGCTAGGTTCTTAAATCTATTTTCCATCGTGTGATCTGGCATACTGAGGAACTTTTCAGCTTGTATTTGCAACTTTGCATCTCTGCGTTCTCTCAGTGCCTGTGTTTTCCCAGGTTTCTCTATTTCTAATATGGGGGTTGATTTCATCCCTCCTGTGATGACTCTGAGCGTTTGATTTTGCACTTTGTGATTCTCACTGACTCACAGAGCATGCTGAGAAAGGTGGAGACAGCTATTCTTCGTGAAGAGTGACAGGTATCACTTCAGAGGTCCCGGATAGTTAGTATCTTATGGATATTTTCACAGTTAGTGACTGTGAGAGACTCAGTCTGACTAGCTCAGCTGCTACCCGCAACAGCAATTGCAACGAAACACCAAACAATGTTAAAGTACACTGTACTACTGCACACTGCGTGTCTGGGAGATCTTTTTTAACATCAAGTTTCACGCTTTCTTTCAAAATGAAATAAACTTACCAGGCTGTGATACTAAATAATGCAACACTGTTTCTGTATCATCAGACTCTAAAATAGACTATAAAATAGATGTAAGATACCATGAGATCGGCGACTGACAGGAAGTGGAAATCGTCAATGTTATCACTCAGTGTTGCCAGTTGCCAGGTGCTATGACAGTGGATTGTGTTCCTCAAAATTCCATTTTTAAACCTTAGTGTTATTTACATTTTTTTTTTTTTATGACTATGTATGCATGTATTATGAATTTATGCACGCACACACACATATGCACTTAAGCTACCCTTGTCATTTGAGAAAAAAAAGGCGGTCCTTACTACAAAGTCTCTTTTAAAAAAAAAGGTGCTGGTACTCACTACAAAGGATCTATTAGAGTAACTCTGAAACAAATGATGCTTAAAAAGGTACCAGTACTGCGTTCCGTTACCTTCCACCAGAAAAAGGGTTTAGTAAAGAGTTTGCGTTGGTGTGCGAGGAAAGCTAGCCATCCCATGTGTTAAAATTGAGAGGTGACAAGATAGCAGAAATATTTTTATGAACTTTTTATGTTTTCCGCCCCAAAGTGTAATTGACCTTTCGTACGTGCTTCCTGACTTGTCACACGCGCTGGTCCCTGATAGAGGTGACTATGTACGCGATATATGTATGACAGTTTTCGGATGTGTATAGAAGATACACAGCTGATGGCGCTAGTTTCAATGAAATGTCTTAGCTTAAGCTTGACCAATTCATCAATAACATCAACATTTTCAATCCGGTTATCAAATTCACCACTTCAATAAACTTTCTTGACATCACGGCCAGCATCGATTTCCTGTGTCTCAAGACCACAGCATACTACAAACCCGTAGATTCTCTTATCTCCTCTATACGTCGTCTCATCCACTACCGTGTGAAAATTCTATTCCGTATTCACAGTTTCTTCGACTGCGCAGTTTCAGCTCTGATGATTCTGACTTCTTAGATAAATCAGTTGAACTTCTTGATTTCTTCCGTGCCCGTTTCTATCCGGAATACATTCTACAAGAAGCTCTGAACACAGTTTTAACAACCACCAAGAGAGATGCTTTCCTCAACCAAACGTAATTCCACCAGCGATGGACCCAAATAGATTTTGACTTTTCACCCTAACAATATGGTTGCTTCCAAAGTATTCTTTCGTCATTTGGACATCCTCCGCTCTAATCCAGACACCAAGATTATCTTTAGTAAGAAGCCCAATTTAGTTTATAGAAGAGACCGCAACCTTAAAGACATACTTGTCAGAAGCCGACTCCCACCGATCCATACAGCACTTCTTTTTGGAACTACTGAATGCTCCCGCAGCAAGTGCAAGACGTGTCCTCGTGTTGTCCAGACTTCTTCAGTCAATTTCCCTTATAGTTCTTTCCAAATTAGGGAACCTTTTATTTGCGAATCCCGCAACGTAATTTATGCAATATTCTGCAAATGATGCAGCAAGTTATACATTGGGGAACCTGCCAGGAAGTTCGCTGCTCGTTTCCAGGAACACCTCTCCTATATTGAAAAGAACACACTTGTTTGTTTGTTTGTTTGTTTGTTTTAGTATCCAGAAGCCATGAGTTGTTAACCCTTAGGCTCGGTATTATGGATATCGCAACCTTTTGGCCTTGATTCCATTGTAAATACCGTAAATCTGGGAGAAATGTGGCTTTTCTGCCTACCCCCGGGAGTGAACCCGGACCACAAGGAGTTCGTCACTCGGTCACAGCGTAATCCGGTTTAGCCAACTACACTAGAGAGCCGGGCAAAAGAAAACACTTTAACCAATCCCTTTCCATTTTATCAGCTCTGACCACAGCCAAAGCATTAAAGTCTTGCTCTGGCGATCATACTACGCGCCTCCCTTTGGAAAATCGCCTCATCCACAGCCTGGGCGTTCTTAGTTCAGGTGGTATCAATATCCTACATACCTTCATCTTAACAGTTTTACTCTTATCACATTTTAAATTTTAATTTAATGTCACTCCTTTGATATCTGTATACTCTCCTCTCCTTGTTGTTACCTTTGTGTAGTTCACTTCATGTTTGACAAAGGCTGCCAAGCCAAAACGTTACGTTATTTGTGTTGTTTTGTGCACCTTTTTCTACTTCCCCATTTGGAATTCCTGGTCTATGTTGAAGGGATGTCAGGTTGTGTTGTCCCCGCAAAGATGTGTGTCGTGTTGGCGGCGAGTTAGAAATTGTATTTTACTCATTTGTTTGAGCAGACGGTGAAATTGTGTATACTACGGAGTTCAAGTA